GAAGGGCACCGCGGAGCTCCCTTACTCGCATCTGCTTCCCTTGGCCCCTCCCCCGGAACTGAATTACTGTGTCGCGAAATGATGCATGTCTAAAAAGTGTGTCACCAACATGAAAAGTTTGGAAAGCTCTGCCCTATCGGCAAGCTAAATCAGAACCTCCCTCTTCACAGGAATGAGGGAATAACTAGGTTTTGTTTTGTTTTTGTTTTGTTTTAAAGCAAGTTTTAGCATTGCAAATGGAAGGCTCTCTCTTTAGGGTGAGGGATTAATCAGGTTGATGGGCAGACCAGAACTTGCAACTGAGTTTTGACTAAGAGTTGACACAACTTTAAGTTTAAGAAACTGTCAGCAATCCATTATGTAACATTAAAGGGGCATTGGCTCAGTGCTGTCTGTAGGAGAGGGGGGAACCCCCAAAAAAACCTCTTTAGTTTGACAAAGATAATGCTTAAAACTGTTTTAAACCAGCTAAACTGACTTTCAATAAGAAAATGTTACAATTAATTAAAATGTTACAAAAATAATAGTCTCTAAAAATGTTTTAATATTCCACAAAGGTCTCAAACTAAGTTGAATTTTCATGCTTCATATAATAAAAACAGCCATCAGAACTCATGCTGTTAGTGTAGCTGAGGCTTCTGAAGAAGAAGCTTACATTTTTTTTAAAGTTTGGTACTTGTATTCAAGGAAGAAGTAAGCTGAATATTTAATTATTCACACCACTTTGGGTTAAATTTGTAACTTTCAATATTGTATAAATAGTTTTACCCTACAGTTTCCCTCTACTTTAAAGCCCTGCTAAGTGCCCATGACTACTTATTTTGTTCAGGAATGTGTCAGTCGAAAGAGTAATGACAAAAGTTCATAGCAGATAATGTTACATTTGCATATCTATAGTTCAGAAGAAAGAGAGACCTAATCCTGCAGTTCTTTGAACAGCAAAGAGGGAATTTTTGGGACACAAACAAAGTGAGGGGGCAGTGGGAAGCCATTTGAATGAGATGTCACGGGGAAACATGCAAGGGTAGGAGTAACCAGGATGAAGACTTCCTTGATTCTGAATGAATGACAAATGCAAATTACTTCAGAATCAGAAGTAAGGAATCATGTCTTATCACAGATTTGAAGACCTGTTTCTTTTCATTACAATAATGGGCATCACATGCCAAGTATTCATTCAGATCTGGTAGGACTTTCTCAACTGAAAATTGCAAAGCATATGGTTAAAAACTTAAAGTGAAGAGAGGGAAAGATGAGCTAGACCTACATCAGTATTCATTCCTTCAGACTTTTTTTTTTTTTTTTTTTGAGGCTTGAGTATAAGCCCCCTTCTAGAAAGAGGCTAGCCCACAATCTGTTTTAAAGGTGAGTGAAGTTGAACACACAGCACAGCAGGACCAAAAAGGAGTGATTCATGATGGCTGGTCAGTTATTCCTAATAATCCTGGCATAGTCCTTTTGTATATCAATAGGATAGATTTCCCACCCCAGTCACCAGGGGACACTGTGAGTAATCATAACACCTAAAAATGCCTTGCTCTAGAAGCTAACAAAGAAGAAAATTAAAGTGCACTTTGAGAAGAGTTTTCTTGGTGACCATGTGGGGAGTTCTACAAGAGTCAAGAAGAAGCAAAAGATCATGACTCTTCAAGCTGTTGTGCCTCACTTCACGAACTGTTGGGAAAATGGTGCATCTAATTCTGAAATCTACTGTTAATAAAGTTGTACAGCTTGAGGAATACTTACCAAAACACCAGGCTCTACTTCTTGCAGTCTCTTTGCAGCATTTGACTAGGCTGTTGTTTACAAGAGCTTGTGCATCTCTGATTTTAGTTGATCTATAACAGCAGTGTATGGCCCATGGGCTGGATCATGCCTTCAGCAGCTCAGGGAATTTGACCCCTTGACTGGAGCATGCTACCAAGGAGGAATCTCCAAGATCTTATTGTCTGCCATATTCAGTTAATTCTCTGAAGCAGGGGAAGTGCCCCCAGGGTTGCAAGCAATGACCCTCAGTGGCAAAAGGTTACCAATCCTTGGTTTGAGATGCAAATTTACCTTATCTTCTGTCCACCTTGACAACTGTAAGGCATCCCAACTGCCAGGGAAAACAAGATGGGGACAGCCAAGTGGCATGCCTTTAAATCTTTTTTAGACCAGTTTTACATGGAAAAATTTAAGTTCGACTTTCAAAACAACATTTTCAAAATTATCAGCAAGACAGCTGTACATAGAGGCAAACCACCTGTGTTGGCAACTAAAACCAGCAGCAATTGCTTTCAACTTGCTTCAGATTAAGCATGCCACAACTAGAGATATAGTGTGTGACTACTTGTATATAACAAATATCTACCAGTGGTTCTCAGTCTCATTAGACTTGAGGCTGGGAACTCAGAGAGACCACACAGTGTTCTTAATACTATGGATTCCTATTTGAAATCTCTGGCGCATCATGTGAATCATGCTTTCACACCTCTCAACACTGTGGCACTCTGGAGCATTCTTGAAAGGATCTCAAGGCACCCTGGTTGGGAATCATTGCCATATGTGAAGCTGATCAAACCTGTATTTAGCAATTGCCTGACCCTAGCACACTTGCTAGCCTCACTTCATCCTCAATACACTGGGGGGGCGGGGTTCATTGCAAAACAAAATGCTGCTTTACAGCAGATTTTGTAAGAAATTGATTGTAACTTGCCCCTGATAATGCTGTTTCAGGTATATAAAAGTGCTTACCCTAATTATTTTTGTTGGATTATGAGGATGAATATAAAACTAGCAACATGGTGGTCTTTTTTTGACAAAGTGTTTAGAACCAGAAGTCTTATATTTGACTCATCTGTGAAAATACTACAACATCTGTTTGAGTATAAAGAATTTTCCAATTCTAGTTTTATCCAAGATAAATTTAAGGAGCAGGTTGGGGATCCAGAAAATGAATAAATTTTAATACACTATAAAATACTTAATGCCAAAGTAGGTGAAAGAGCCAACTTCTGAATCGGAGTTTTGAAGAATAAAATGTAATGTGCCATGAAACTTTCTGTTTTACTTTTCATAGGTTACATTTATTTAAGAATATTGCAAGCAGGACTTTCTTTAAACATAACATGGTTTGGTTTTTGTTTTGTTTTTAAATCTGTAGTGGTCACTTTCACTAACATTGTATCTGACTTTTTTGGCATTTTGATTTTTGAATATGCATGTAGAATATGATACAAGAAGAATTGGTTTGATTTCTTTAAGTCGTACCTAATACCTATACAGAACTTTTGTATTGTCATTTGGCAATTTTTAAAAAAATATTCTATGTAGACCTGGATACACATTTTAAAAACATCATTTATATAACCTTTAATAATGACGTCTGTGTTCCAAAGTAGAACAGCCTTTTAGCAAAGCTTTGAAAGACATTTGTCCAAAATTCAGTTAAAACCGTGATGGTTTAAATTGGTGTAAGCCAGTAGTTTAAAACCACAGTAGTCAAAACTGCCCAACCCCACATGGAAATGCCAGGGTACAAAGAACATTAAGATGAAGTTGCTACTTTATGCCAAAGCTTATTTGATCAAAGTCAACCTTTAGATTACTCTGAGCTTTCCTCATTAAGCGGCTTTTTATATTATGCATGCCTGATGGCTGGATTGCAAAGGCTGTGCCCACTCTTTCACCCATTCCATTATTTTCTCATAATAAAAGACTACTTTGGGTGGTAGAAATTATGTTTTGCAGCATGCTGAGTACCTTTTCATTTACCTAGGAGAGAAAAGCATGTTTTTTGATTAAGGGTTATCATCTCCTTCCGTGGGGAAAGAGGTACCAGAATCTGTTCCAAAAACTCTGTCCAGTAGTTTGAAAGCCCTATCATTTGGCAGTTACATATTTTATACATATAAAGCAAACCATTTGTTTGTACAAACCAAATACAGTAAATTTAAGGTCTAAAGCAACAAATTGGGAAGACTTGGCAGCAGTTAGTTGGCCTCTGCCCTGTAGTGGAATCCAAATGAAATCTGGTTATCACAAAAAAGTCAATACCCCCAAGTCAGAATGAAAAGTTAGTTAATTGGGACTCTAACTTGGAGTTAAGGTTGTTCTTCTGTAATTCTTTTCCTTTAGCTAAAGTGTTGCAACAGAAAAATACTCTGCCGTTACTCTTTTTTTTTTTTTTTTTACCATTGTTGAAACTTTCAATCTGAAAAACAATTCAGAGTAGGAACAAAGACAGTGTATACTGCTCTGCTCTTTCAAAAGAAGGATGGGTTGGTTTGGGGTCTTTTTTTTTTCTTTTTCTTTAAGGATACTACTAGAACCACTGCAGATGGAGCTAACAATGTTCTCCAAGTATGTCATATCTTGGATTAAACTGATGAAGAAGACTGTAGACAGCCTTTATAGGCAAAGCTTTTAAAGACTTGGTGTTATCTTGGTGGCTTAGTTTGTAGGTAAGAACCTGTAACAATTTAAATTTAGTTGACCCTAGGGGAAACTACTTGCACAACCTGTTGTTCAGCATTAGTTGGGGGAGCTGGATATCATGTAGGGGTAACTACTTATGAAAACATCATCCAGTTTTTAATACGTTCCTTCCTTGTAGGGCTGAAATCCAGTGGCAGTGGAAATTTAATAATATTACAATTTTGATAGTGGCTAGTTGTAGCAAAGAGGAACATAATGAGGGTGGATGGCAGCCCTGTTTTCTGACTTGTCACTCTTT